TTTTTTTTTTTTTAAGTCCGAATCTCACTCTGTCACCCAGGCTGGAGTGCAGTGGCACCTTCACGGATACCGCAGCTTCAACCTGTTGGCCTTAGGTGATCCTTCCACCTCAGCCTTCCAAGTAGCTGGAACTTCAGGCATGTGCCACCATACTTGGCTCATTTTTCTTGATTTATTATAGAGATGAAGTCTTGTCAAGCTGCCAGTTTAGTCGCGAACCTGTGGTCTCAGGCAATCCTCTCACCTCAGCCTCCCAAAGTGCTGGGATTATAAGCATGAGCCACAATGCCCGGCCTATTTCTTTTTTTTCCATCTTCAGCATTATATGTCTTCTTAGGGGTTTATCAGTTTTATCCATTTTCTTCAAAGAATCATATTTGGCTGAACTGTAAATATGCTTTGTATTTCATGAGTTCCTGCTCTTAGCTCTATTACCTCCCTACTCTATTTTCTTTGGGTTTAATTTGTTCTTTTTCCTAGCATCATAAGATAAAAGATTAAACCATGAAATTTTAACCTTTTTTCCCCTAATATTTACATTTATAGCTATAAAACTCCTCGTTATTATTATTAGCCTCACTCAACAATTGAGGGCACAATGAGCTGAAAAAACTTGTCCATGAAAGGTCAAATCTCAGGTCTCTTTTTCTTCAGTACTAGGAATATTTCTACCTCACCATAAATGAGGAAATCTTTCTAAGCCCAAAGGTTACCTAATTGTTCAACAAATCTTTTGCTGGGCGCAGTGGCATATGCCTGTAATTCCAGAACTTTGGGAAGCAGAGGCGAGAGGATTGCCAGACCCACGGTTTCAAGACCAGCCTCAGCAACATGGTGAGATCTTGTCTCTACAATAAATTAAAAAATTAGCTGTGCACGGTACACACACCTATAGTTCCAGCTACTTGGAAGGCTGAAGTGGAAGGAATGCTTAAGTCCAGCAGTTTGAGGTTGTGGTGGCTATGAGTGTGCCACCACACTCCAGTCTGGGCGACAAAGTGAGACTACAACTCAAAAAAAAACACAAAAACCCATGTCTGGTTTGCTCTCCACCAAGTTCCCATATATACTAAAGAATGTAGCATTGTCAAAGAGAAGGCCTCGCTTTGGCCCTTGACTTCTGGGAGGTAATCTATTGGCCCTTGGAACAATAGGCCTGACAGGACTACCTCTGACTGGTGGGTCTTGGGTCATACTAGATAATCTATCCAACAATATATTCAGTTCAAGAGTTCTTTAAAAAAAAAAAAAGAACAATACAATTGTGGAGGTGGAGGGAAGGCTGACCACACTGCATAGTCTTAGTTTGGTAAGGAGGGCTAGTCTCCAGAAAGACCAAAAATGTGACTTAGGGTGGGGGTTCTGGGTCACATGGTATCAGTCTATTTAGGCAATCAACCAATCAAACTTATATAATGAAGACCCAATAAAAATTCTGGACCCTGGTTGGACACGGTGGCTCAGCCTGTAATCTCAGCACTTTGGAAGGCCGAGGGAGAGGATTGCCTGAGCCTGGGATTTTGAGACCAGCCTGGGCAGCTTGGTGAGACCTCATCTCTACAATAAATCACAAAAATCAGCTGGGCATGGTGGCAGGCATCTGTATTTCCAGTTACTTGGAAGACTGAAGCAGAAGGATCGCCTAAACCATGCAAGTTGAGGCTGCGATGGCTGTGAGCATGCCACTGCACACCTGCCTGGGCAACAGAGTGAGACTCCAACTCAAAAAAAAAATTCTGGACCCTGAAACTCGCTTGAGCTTCCATGGTTGGCAGCACTCCATATGCATCGTTACACAGAATGTCAGGAAAGTAACATGCCCTAACTCCATAGAAGAGAACACAAGCTCCACATCTGGAACTTTCCAGACTCTGCCCTATTTGCTTCTTTCTTTGGCTGATCCTGTCCATCCGTCCATCTGTTCGTCCATCCATCCATCCATTTCATTCATTCATTTATTTATTTTGATAAATAGGCTGATTTTAATCTGCATCATTTCCCTATAATAAACCATCACCATGAGTATGCAATAGCTTTAAGTGAGTTCTGTGAATCCTTCTAGCAAATTTTCCAAACTAAGGGTATTCTTAGGAACATCCAAACTTGCAGTGGTTTCAAAAATGAGAGTAGTCTTGGGTACTGTGCCCTCTTAACTTTGAAGTTAAACTCTAACTCCTTGCAGCCTGCCTACCATGGTGCAGCCACATAATACATTCTCAATAAATATTTGATGAATTAATAAACAAGGTTTCAAGCGGAGGATTTTAGCATTTTCTCCAGTAAAGGGTATGGGGCAAGAGAGTTGTTTTTGGTGACAATGTGGTCAGCCTTCAGCAAGGCATAATTCAGCTTGGTATCAGCTACTGACAATTCTCATCCCTTCAGAGACCAATAACTCAAGCACTCCAGTACTTTCCAGGAGATCAAACCCCAACAGTCCACAAAATTCAAAATTATTTTTACTGTAAAACCAAACACAAGACGGAGGCAAGAGGATTGCCAGAGACCATGGGTTCAAGACCAGCCTGAGCAACATGGCAGGATCTCATTTCTACAATAAATAAATAAATAAAAATTAGCTGGGCGTGGTGATACACACCTGTAGTTCCAGCTACTTGGAAGGCTGAGGACGAAGGATCACCTGAGCCCACCAGGTCAAGGCTGCAGTGGCTGTGAGCATGCCACTGCACTCCAGCCTGGCAGAGTGTGACTCAGACTCAAAAAAAAAAAAAAAAGCCAAACACAGAACTGATTACAAATATATTTGGGGGCCATGAGCACTGATGAAGTTATTCTGTAACCAGCCAGTGGGAGGTGTCCTGGCAGAGATTACTGAAGCACTAACAAGGGGTAGGCAGGAACCCCCAAGACAGTATCTACCCAGCACCTTTGCAGGCCATTCCCACCCAAGCCTCAAGACAATGTTATTTGGATGGTAGCTCTCCCCTCTACCTGCAAAGCGGAGTTCATGAAGCAGGTGTTCCCCAGGTTTCCAAGTCCACAAAGCCCAGGTTGTATATGAGATGATGGTGGCTCCTGACAATTATACGAAGCAGAGAAGCCAGATCCACTGGAAAACACAATCCACATCAGCAATAAAAGCAAGTGCTGACACATTCCCTCAGAACGTCTTTTCAGGCTCCTCTGGAGCCTCTAGAACTTGTGTCTGGTAGTAATCCCATGATGCAAGTTCTCTCTACACACCCGTCTCCAGTCTTCCAGACCAGCCTCCACCCTTAACGTGCTAGCAGCTGGTAAACACACTCTTAAGGGAAGAAATGCTATTTGAATTTTCCTCAGTTAGGTTTTGGTAGATGCTAATTTTGTATCTCTCCAGAAGGATACCAGGTGACTTTAGGGAAGAACATTTTAGTTATCAAGATCAAGGGCTGGCCAGGTTTGGTGGCTCACGCCTGCAATCCCAGCACTTTGGGAGGTCAAAGTGAGAGGATCGCTTGAGTCCAGGAGTTTGAGACTAGCCTGGGCAACATAGCAAGGCTCTGTTTCTACCAAAAAAAAATTGTTTTTGATTTAAAAAAAGAAAGATCAAGAACTTGCATCTGTCACCTCTCACCAGGCCATACCCAGCCTTGCCTGTGCCTGGGTATTCATACACACTTTCTCATCTCACTCTCCTCTTCCACTTTGTCTATCCTATGTGCCAAGTACTCTTGAAACACTTGGAGAAAGGATCACAGTCATCCATAGCTGAGAACTGACCCCTCACAGTTATTCTGCCATATGGTTGACCTGTCCCTTCATAAACAAATACAGTGACTCCCCCAAGATTACCAGTGACAGAGACTGTGGGGAAAATACAAGCTCACAGGAGGACAAGCAACATAGGTCAGAACTAGGGTATTAAATGGAGTGAGGAAACCACATGCAGCACGGTCCTTTGGAGAATTCTAACCCCATTATACTAGTGTAGTGGCAGATGACCTCTCCTGGTACAGCCAGGGAAAGGACTTAAGGAAGGGAAGCAAAGCAAAAGGGCCTGCTCTTACCCCCTGCTGACACTGGAACTGTGCATCACAAAGGTGTTAGTGCTACCACCATTTGCAATGGGAGAGGCAGACACTGAGGAATAGGGACTTGCTGATGATTTTGGAGAGGTAGTAAGATTTCTGCTAGGCGCAGTGCTTGACCTGGGAGACAGAAGCAGAAACAATGCTACTGACTTTTTTGCAAAGAGCAAGCCCTATTTAGTGCCTTAGATATCTTCTCAAGAAATAAACATTCTCCATATTCAATTATTTAAGTTGCAAACAGCCTGTTTTCACGCTACATCAAGATACATTTTAAGCCAGAGTCAAGAAATTAATTGGTCTTCCTGACTCGTTAGTCCACACAGTCATATACTGAGTCTTTCAGTGTAAAAAAGCAAAGTTAATCTTCAGGACATCCTGCTTTGATTTACAAATCATAAGCTTCTTTGAATTTTAAGAGTTATCAGTGGCCAGGCCCAGTGGCTCAGCCTGTAAACCCAGCACTTTGGGAGGCCTAGGCAAGGAAGGTTGCCTGAAGCCCTGAAGCCAGAGGTTCGGGATGGGGCAACTTGGTGAGACCTCGTCTCTACAGTAAAATCACAAAAAGCTAGCCGGGCATGGTGTAGTTCCAGCTACTTGGAAAGCTGAGGCGGAAGGATCGCCTAAGTCCAACAGGTCGAGGTTGTAATGGCCATGAGCATGCCACTGCACTCCAGCCTGGGCAACAAGAGTGAGACTCTAACTCAAAAAAGAGTTACCAGTATAACCTGGGCAACATAGTGATATCCCATCTCCACAAAAAATTTTTAAAATTAGCTGAACGTGGTGGTGTGTGTCTGTAGTTCCAGGTATTCGGGAGGCTGAGGCAAAAGAATCAGTCTAAGCCCAGGAAGTCAAGTTGTAGTAAGCCATGATCATGCCGCTGCACTGTAGCCTGGGTGACAGAGTGAGACCCAGACCACTCAAAAACAAAACAAAACAAAAAACCCGCATATGGTAGCTCACACCTATAATCCCAGCACTTTGGGAGGCTGAGGAGAGAGGACTACCTGAGCCAAGGAGGTCCAGACCAGCCTGAGCAATATGGCAAGACTTTATTTCTACAATAAATCAAAATATTAGCCAGGTGTGGTGGCATATGCCTGTATTTCCAGTTACTTGGAAGGCTGAAACAGAAAGATTGCCTGAGTCCAGCAGGTTGAGTTTGTGGTAGCCGTAATCACACTACTGTACTCCAGCCTTTCTGTAGCGAAAGAGTAAGACTCTGACTCAAAAAACAAAAAAAAAAGGAGTTAACCAGTGAAAGGCAAAGAAAAATGGCAATAAGAGATGACTTTGCCAAATGTGGTGGCTCACGCTTGTAATCCCAACACTTTGGAAAGCCAAGGCAAGAGGATTGACTGAGCCCAGGATTTCGAGACCAGTCTAGGCAACATGGCGAGACCTCATCTCTACAATACATTTTTTAAAAAATTATCTGAGGCCAGGCTCGGTGGCTCAGCCTGTGATCCCAGCACTTTGGGAGGCTGAGTTGAGTGGATTGCCTGAGCCCGCAGGTTTGAGACTAGCCGGGACAACTTGGTGAGACCCTGTCTCTACAATAAATCAAAAAATTATCCAGGTGTGGTAGCACCGCCTGTAGTTCCAGCTACTTGGAAGGCTGAAGCGGAAGGATCATCAGAGCCCAACAAGTCGACATTGGGGTGGCCGTGAGTGTGCCACTACACTCCAGCCTGGGCAACTGAGTGAGACTCCAACTCAAAAAAAAAAAACATTATCTGAGCATGGCGGGCACCTGTAGTCCCAGCTACTTGGAAGACAGAGGCAGAAGGATCACCTGAGCCAGTAAGATGAGGCTGTGGTAGCTGTGATCATGCATTCCAGTCTAGGTGACAGAGTAAAACTCCGACTTAAAAAAATAAATAAAAGCTGGGCTTGGTGGCTCAGCCTGTAATCCCCGCGCCTTTGGGAGGCTGAGGTAAGTGGATTGCCTGAGCCCGCGGGTTCGAGACCTGCCTGGGCAGCGAAACCTCATCTCTACAATAAATAAAAAATCAGCCGGGCGTGGTAGCGCACGCCTGTAGTTCCAGCTAGGAAGGCTGAGGCGGAAGGATCGCCGGAGACCAGCAGGTCGAGGCTGCGGTGGCCGGGAGCAGCCACTGCACTCCAGTCTGGGCGACAGAGTGACACTCCAACTCAAAAAATAAATAAATAAAAAAATAAAAGAGAGATGACCTTCCCAAAAACTGCTTGATGCAAATTAAATAGCTGGCTATAAGGATACTAGACATTTTGGTTTCACTATGCCATTCAAGGGGAATTGCTTTTGTTTCTTCAAATTTGCCAAATATGAATAATCTCTGTTTCAAACTCACATGTCAATATTTATCACAGACTCTTAGATTTATTTCTATTTTCAGATTAATTAGTTCAAGAACTAACGGTCCCAAATCTTAAATTACTATCAATTTTATCAGTCTACTAGAATCTGTTTAAGAACACATATAAGTGAGTCTTTCTGCATTGTTTCAAATATGTAGAACTGGGATTTTCCTTCTAGAATACCATGTTATTTTTATTTGTTTGTTTGTGTTTTGAGTCAGGGTCTCACTCTGTCACCTAGGCTAGAGAGCAGTGGCGTGATCCTGGTTAACCGCAGTCCCTACGTCCTGAACTCAGATGATCCTTCTGCCTCAGCCCCCGAAAGTGCTGACATTACAGGCGTGAGCCACTGCACACAGCCTATTTTTAGAATACAGAAAATGATTAAGAAGATGTGCTGTCACAGCACATTAACCACCCTCCTAATCTCAACCCGGTCTCCCTTGAGAACAAAGGAAAATATAGCAGCAAAGATAAGGTATGATCTTGTACTCATACCAACAATGGGAAGATGTCAAGAAATTATTATCCAGGGCCTAACTGGGCTTTAGGAACCAAGTTCTGCTCCACACTGAGGTCCCAGCAAGGCAGAGAGAAAGAGGATTCCCCCGGCCTCTCACCTTCCCGTAAGGAAATAAACCTTTCTCTAATCTAGAAAAAGATTGGCTTCATTCAGCCTCATCCTCATGCTCTAAAGGAATCCAAGAACTCAGGCAGCTGTATTAAGTGAGTCTCATCAGAGTTGAGGGTGCTCTCTTCACCACACAGGAGACTTAAGTAGCCATTGCCTTGCTAGATTCTGGTGTGGCCATGTGCTCTTTGAGCTATGACTGTGGCCATGCTTCCTGGTTTTGGTCCCCGCCCCCACCTTGGGGAGATGAAACTTCTCCCTTCTCTTTCTCTCTCTAATTTACTTTTAAATAAACTATATTTTTTAATCTTAAAAAAAAGTATACATTATAGGCCTGTCCAACGTAATGTCCAATGTGATTTCCCAGCCTCCTCTGCAGGCAAGAAAGTCTGCTGCCCAAGGCTGTCTGATATGCAATAGCAGACTCAGGACTGAAGATAGGTACTACAGGTCAGTGAAATTCCAATTTTGATGTATAGAACCTCAAGATTTATAGTTTGATACTCATCTTTTCAGTAACTATTCACTGGAAACTAATTCTATTATTTCCTTGAGCTTAAGAGGGCAAAAATCCATATAAACCATATATACACACAAGACCTGTCAATTTCTTTCTTTTTTTTTTTTTTAAGTAGGAGTCTCACTCTGTTGCCCAGGTTGGGGTGCAGTGGCACATGCATGGTCACTGGAGCCTTCACCTGTTGGGGCAAGTGATCCTTCTACCACAACCTTTCAAGAAGCTGGAACTACAGGCATGTGTCAGCACACCCAGCTAATTTTTTGATTTATTGTAGACAAGGTCTCACCAAGTTGCCCAGGCTGGTCTTGAACCCCATGGACTCAGGCAATCCTCTTGTCTCAGCCTCCCAAAGTGCTGGAATTACAGGCATGAGCCACTGCTCCCAGCAAGACCTGTCAATTTCTTAAAGATACAACATTTCAAGGGATTGGCAGTAGCAGGATACTGGCAGGATAGGAGACACAACACCAATAAGGGTACCTGATCTCAAACTAGGCAAAGTGGGGATCAAAGGGAGACCCAAACTTTGCCTGTACAATGTCCACTTG